TATTTTTCTCCCCAGCTTCTGTGAGCTTGCATCCTAGCACCTCTCCAGCTCTTGATCTTGCTTTTGTTTCTCGTTGGTCAGCTCTGCCCATGTCGTGAATTCCTGGGACATGCTTCTGTTTCCCGGCATGTTTGCAGATCTCTGTAGCGCACGAAGCACGGGATTTTAAATTTCATTAAGAACGAGTAAAACTGCCTGTTCATCCCCTTTGAGGCTTTCTGGGATTCCCAGAGCGAAAGCATTTATTCCTTGCATAATCTCGCGTTGTTTTCAGATGGTGTGATAGATTACGGTCCTCCCCGGGAGAGCTTTTGCAGGCGCCGCACGCAATAGCAGCGCTTTGGTGTGCCACCAGGAAGCTCGTGGGCTGACTGCGATGGTTGCGAGCGTGGTTTCTTCAATCGTCACATTTCTTCTGAAGGTAGAGAGAGTGCAGTCATAGGCACAATGCTGGGAAAAGGCAGTTCTTGCCCTGTGAGGATTTTTAGTCTTTGCTTTGTTAAAGATTGGGAACATTAAAAAATAATGGATTCTGTTGCATTTCCTCAGGATGTAATTTCCTTCACCTCCTCCATCTAAAAAAAAAAAATAAATAAAACCTGAGGATGGATTTCTGATGCTTGCTTGCTGCTGAGAGTTTTTTGTTTTGTGTGGCAACTGTCAGGTAACTTGACTTCACTGTGCTGAAACTGCAGGGAAATTGAAATGAGATTTTAATGGGTTCTAGTGCTGAATCTTCAGGTTTGATCTTTGTTTCACTGACATTTCCACTGTTCGTCACTGCCCTGGGAATGCCCAGTTTGGTGCTCAGAGATGTTTTCTGATCACGCACCATTTCGCAGAGTGAGGTCAGATGAAGTGTGGTTTGTGGGTCGCTGATCTTACCATCCTCTGGAAGCCCTGCACCTGCCTCTTGTCCGGTTACACCTGAAAACGAGAAGAGGAGAAGGGGCGATCCTGGATTTCTCACCTCCTGCTCCGTCGGATCGGAGCCAGTGAGCGCGGGGTGATGCCAGAACTGCTGGGCAGAGTGTAACTCACTCACCGAGCAGCACAGTCCTTCAGATGCTCTCGGAGCGCTCTGGCAGGGCAGGACGGCTTCTTTCCTCTCTGCTGGAGCTGCTCCTGCCCTGGTGACCACCCCAGCGATGCCAGCGCCTGTCCCTTCTGTTAGTGCCACCTGAACAGTGTCTGAGTAGGGGTTGTGCAAAAAAAAAAAAAGGCTTTGTCTAGAGCTGTTCCAGCTACAGTGTCAAGGAAGGTGTTAAAGATCGAGGAAGGAGTGCTGGGGTGCAGCAGGGCACGCAGATACGGTTTGGAGTCAATGTTTTGTCTCAAAGAGCTGTTTCTGTGTCACAGGGTCCTGCTGTGGTGTGACAGGCCCGTGAGACGTTCAGCTTGGGCATTTCTGTCATCTTCCTGCCCCCAGCCCTGAACCAGGAGCATGGTTTGAATAAGTGAGGTGTTGTAAAGAGCATTCAAAGGTGCAGAGGGGGGGGAAGCTGGTACAGAACTTTAATTAGCAGTAATTTCTGTTACACTGGGGTGGAAGATATTTGCAAAAGTTAATTATTGACAGAGTTGCTTAGGTTCCATCTGGGCTAAACTCTTCCTGACAAATTCTCTCCTGAAAGGTTGCAACTCTTGCTTGAGCCAGTAAACTGGAAACTGTGTCCAAAGCCATTACGCCGTGATGCCGCAGAGTGCAGGGAAAGCTTCCTCGGGTGGCGAAGCCTCAGCCAGCCCGTCGTTCTGCGGTTAACTCGAAAGCCAATTATATTTAAAACTGGACTGTTATTTTGTGCTTCATCACTTTAAGATAGACCTTTGCAGGGACATATTCCAAAAACGTCATAGTCTGAACAGCGTGTCCCTAAATTTCTAAACATTCTTCTGATCTTAAAGGGTCAGTTTCCCCAGGGTGGAATCTGGAGAGGGAAGGAAGAAAGGTCTGAAGAAGGTAGTAATGGGAACTTTATTTTTCCTTGCCATCGTTTAGTGATTCAGCTGTAAGTATTCTTTATTGACCCTGGAAATCAAGAGTTTACCAAGATTTTATTTTCTCTTTCTAGATGCAGAGGTTGTCCTAGAGAGGCTGTTCAGGGATCTCTGAGCTCCCTGATGTGGATGTGGTTGGGAAGGATGAGGGACACTGCACATCTACAACTCCAGCACTGAAAATCTTCTCCTTTTAAACTTGTGCATTGCACCAGCCTCTAGCTTGTGGCTGCCTGAAAGCCTCATGCAGCAGCTGGAGGCAGCCAAATGGCTCCTGGCGATATGGCGGCGGTTCTGTTATCTGTAGCAGCTTTACTGTCACATGGAAAGTAAAAGTGCCACAACCTGATGCTTCTCAGCTGCGGAGCTGCCTTGGAGCCTCTCCAGCGCTCGTGGCCAGGTGGCAGCTGTGCAGGCTCGGTGCGGAGGGATGATAATAGCACCGAGCTGTAAACAGGACACTCCACCCTGCTTCGGCGCCTCTACGCGCCCTCCTCCCTGTGCCCGAAACATCTCTGTGCCGTACACGCAGCCTTTGCACCGTCAGGAGGGGAAACCTGCTCCCTGCAGCACCCTGCCCCGCTCTGGCATCTCCCAGCTCCCCCCAACCCTCGGGCTTCTTAGAAACAAACGGAATTGTTGGGTGGCACAGTTGTTCTTTGTAAAGGGAGTCGCAGTCCCTGCTGTTGGTCCGTTAATAGCTCGGTGTGTGTTTGCAGCCGTCGGACACGGTTGGTGCTGCTGTGGGTGTAGGAGCCACTCCTCTGCTCTCGGTCGTGTCCGTTCTCGTCCTTTTTCAGGCTGGTGTTGGCTGTGGTGCCCTGCGGAAGGTTTGGAGCACGAAGGTGACCCCAGTGACTCTGGTTGTATCGAAGGGGCTCTTGGAGAGCCCTGCGGGGACGTCGGAGCAGGGTGGGAGGGGGGCTGCCTGCTGCAGCCGCGCTCGGTTCCGCCGGGGGGGCTGCCTGCTGCAGCAGCGCTCGGTTCTGCCGGCAGCCTGGCTGGGGAGAGAGCGCGAGAGGAAGAGACGGCTCCAGTCCGACGTCAGGGAGATGTACAGCCCGTGGGGGCAATGAGGCGCTGAAGAGGAAGCTGCAAATACTAACGAGTTTCTAAATTAGAGCTGGTGGTGGCTGTCTCGCTGTTAACTGTTGAGAGCAGGGAACATGTGCTGGGGTGCCAGCTGGACCCCACACAATGAGCCTTTAATCCCATGTGGACCTTACCAGGTGTGGCTGCAAGGACTAATGCTTCTCCCACGTGGCTTTCTGTTCCTTTTTTCTCGCCTAGAACTCAAATTCCACTGCTGAAATGGTATTTCAGCTGATAAAAAGGTGTATTTAACAGTCTCAGCTGTGGTGGGTGCCGCGGCACCTTTGTCTATGGAGGTATTTGGCAAACACAGCGTAGTGCTTAAGAGTTTTAATGCTGATTTCAGTGTGGTTAACTCGCTCCCTGCCTGCTGTGCCCTGATTTTGGGGAGGAAGGAGAGAATGTCTGTACACAAAGCACCTGGAGCAGAGAGCTGTGCGTGGCCTTAATATCTTGCCAGGAGGCCACAGGTCTGGTTCCGATGTGCGTGCTATTTTGCATGTCTAATCAAAATGAAATGCAAACAAACTCTCCTGCTGGCTTCAACTTGCCTCTTTCTTGCTGCCTTTTCAGTTTCGGCGATAACACCTTTTTTCAGCTGCGAGGGTGATGGCAGGGCTGCAGAAGAGGGGGCTGTGCTGGCTGCCTGCAGACCGAACGTTGATCCTGTTGAGTTCGGACCTGGCTTGGGACATGAGGGAGGAGGTGGAGGGACGCAGCACCGTGCTGGGTGCCTCCCTTGCCGCAGCCTGCCGGGAGGGATGCTCGGCTCTCTGTCCTCGCACTGGGGTTGCGCTGGTGTGCATCACCGCTGACACACAAACTTCAACCGGTTTTATTTACAAAGTCTTTCTGTTAATCATCTTTCCAGCTCCTGTCAGGAAAGCAGTGTCTGACCAGGCACTGCGGCGTCTCATGGGAGCTGGGCAGACCCGGAGCTCCTGGAGTTTTGCTCAGGCGCTGCCAGCGATGGGTTACAACAGCGAGCAGGTCACGCATCTGCCTTTCGGGTCTTTGCTGACTGAATGCACAGACCTGCTGGTGACACCCAGCCCTCGCGCAGTCCTGCTGAGGATCCAAAACTTTGCAGGCGTTCTCTTGGCCTCCCTGAAACTGGGAGTGAGCAACAGCATGCGTCCTTGGGGGAAACTGAGGCACACAGGCTGCCTTTCGCTGTTGGGTCTTACCATGGGTGAGAGCCCGGGTTCTCTGAGTAGTAAGCAGCTAGGAAGAAATCCTGCCTTACAGATGGCATAGTGGGGTTTTTCTGCAGTGCTCGTGCAAAAGCAACACGGACGTGCAGAGTACTTCCCTGGGTTGTGTAGCAGCTCCCGTGACTTTGGGTTCTCTGGTCAATGGCTTCAAGCAGCACTTAAGGGCCGCAGTGAAATCTGCTGGAGCAGCGATCTCTCGGTGTGAGCACGGCTCTGCGGCGGGGCGGAGGGCAGGTTGGGCGGTCGATCCCAGCCGCTCTGCTGAAGTGCTGTTGCTCTTGCTGCTTGTTCTCGCTGGCTGGCTCGGAGCAGCAAACTGCCCGTGCTGGGGCTGGGCAGCAGCGTGGCCGTGGGGGGGAAGAGCTGCCGCTGTTGTGAGAGCGAGAGCTCGCTGGGCACGTTGG